AATTTCCTCATCCCTCTCTTCGCCGCGCTGCAATCGCCTCCTCGGCTGGTCTGAGTTTTGCCTTGGCATGTCCTGGCTCTGCATATACCCCAGGACAATGCGCGTGGAGTTCATAATGCCCATAATTGCCGCGGTGATCTGAGCGGGCTCCATGATCCCAGTGCTAGCTATGGCGCCTGGTCAGAAAAAAGGCGCGAAACTAGTATCTGACGGACCAGGAGAAGGAGGGAGGGCCGAGTGACGACATGGCGTACAGGTACAGGAACAGGGAATTAAAATCAAGAAAGGTGGCTGTGCATCAGGGAGAAACACAAACAACTGTCACACAGAATGGTTCCCCCCAAAGATTAAACTTAAAACCCTGGGCTTAGCAGGCCGTTGATTTGACGGAGGGAGGGGGAAGCAAATGAATACAGAGCAAATCTATTTTTTACATCTTAAGACGACGGTGCAGCGTGACTGATAGCCCTCAGCATCTTTCTGGGTGCTTGGCAGCAAATACTGGGCGCTTGGCAGTTAGTGTATTACGATGGCCTTCAGGCCTATTGCACAATCTGCTGCTCAGGGAAGACTCTGCTAATGTGCGATGAGCCAACTTGTAATAGGACGGTTACCAGTCGTAATACACCATCTACTGCCAAAAGGCAAGGGGCTGGTGCAATGCAGCCCCACGGCTGCCAGCACCCAGATCGCCGATGAAGGCTACCAGTCTACTGCACCGTCTACCGCCAAAAGGCAGTTAGCAGCTGTTGCTGTGTAGCAATGCAGTCCCACGTCTGCCTGCACCCAGAGGACATATGGTGACGGTGAGCTGAGCGGGCTCCATGCTTTCTGTGGTATGTTGTCTGCACAGGTAACCCAGGTAAAAAGGCGCGAATCTATTGTCTGCCGTTGCTGTGACGGAGGGGGAGGGGCCTGACGACATGTACCCAGAACCTCCCGCGACACTGTTTTTCATCATCCGGGCATTGGGATCTCAACCCAGAATTCCAAGGGGCGGCGGAGACTGCGGGAACTGTGGGATAGCTACCCATAGTGCAATGCTCCGGAAGTCGACGCTAGCCTCGTACTGTGGACGCGGTCCGCCGACTAGAGCACTTAGAGCATTTTATGTGGGGACACACACAATCGGCTGTATACAAACGATTTCTATAAAACCGGCTTCTATAAATTCGAACTAATTTCGTAGTGTAGACATACCCTCAGTCTGTAAGGTTACGCAACTGGAACTGGTATTTGTAGGGAGAGAGTGCAAGCGAGGAGTCCTCTGGGTGTGTAGAGTGTTAAGGAAATATAACCAGGGGTGAAAGTGAGCCAGTACAGGCTGGTACTCTGTACCGGTAAGAACCTGCACCAGCCCATAATCAGCCCACATTAAAGTGCTGCCGTGGCAGCGCTTTAATGTCCCTGCCCCTTTTGCCTCCCCTGTCGGGGGCCCTGCCGGTAGGGTCCGTACCGTCAGGGCCACCGATAGTGGGGGGGGGGGGCGGAGGGGCAGCAACATTAAAGCGCTGCTGTGGCAACTCTTTAAGGATGGTCCTTTGCTGCAGCAGTGCTTTAATGTTGCTGCGCCCTCCAGTTGGTGGGGTTGCCAATGGACGGGGGGGGGGGGGAGGGAAGCAACGTTAAAGCACTGCTGTGGCAAAGGACCCTGCAGTGCTTTAAACCCTATTGCCTCCCCCGGCCACTGACGGGCGGGGGGGAGGGGGCAAAGGGAGCAGCTGCCCTGGAGCCGGTGATTTAAAAGGGCTCCTACCACAGCAGCAGTGTCCAGAGCTCTGGGCCCTTTAAATCAACACGGGAGCCCTGGGCGGCGCGGTCCAAGGGTTGGCTGGGGGATGCTGACACCCAGCCCTGCCCCTACCGCTTGAGGCCCCGCCCCTTCCGGGGGCCAGAGCCAACCCCCCGTACCGGTAAGTGTCCTCAGTTACTTTCACCCCTGAATATAACTCATTCCTTTGATGTAACATGCTGCTCCACTGACAGGTCTTCTACATTTTGTTGTCTTGTATATTTGACATCCTCTTTTACTATGTAGGTAAGAAAATAAGGTCTATGGTCAACTATTCTGTTTTTCCTTTACTCAAAAATTAGTAACTAGATTTATAATTACATCTAATTATTTTTAGTGTAAAAGGTGGAACTCCCTCCTCTTCCCACAGCTCCAGGTAAATCTCAGCTGGGTTCCCCTTTCTCCTTTACCAGACTGAACATAACACTATTTATTAAAAGTTGAGCTGATGTGTACCAATTATGATGTCTGATGGGATGACTGAAGATGATCACTTACCTTAGTTGCACATGCATTCATCAGTTAAGAGCAGATCTGAAAGTGCCCTTCAGTGCTGTGTTGCTGTGTTGTGGATGACTGCCACTTGAGAGCCCTTTGTGGAAAAGGGCACCCTAGTATCTGGAGCATGAAGCAGTTGTCTGAGCAAGTATCATTTATTGGAAGAGATATGCCACTCCATTCACAGAATTGGAATGAAGGTTAATTAATTTTACTCTGAATTCAGGTTCTCATTGTTCTAAGCCAGACAGGACCTCAGCTGCCCTACAGTTGAGCCCTACTGTGAGTCTTACATTGTTTTGTGTTCAGTCGTGCCCAAATTCCTTGAAGACTCTTTCCCCTGATTTGCTAAGTATTTGAAGCCTCCCTTTCAGAGATGCTCAGGCCATTTCAATACTTACTGTCAAAGAGGATGACCCTGCCATCGCCACCACAGGGTTGGGTATGGTCGCCAAAACAGACACTGTTGCATTCTGTGCTGACTGCCTCCCCATAGCGCCAATAGTCAGGGTTATTCCCACAGAAACAGGCATAGCCTGACTCCATGCCTGCCAACTGTGATAACAAAGAGACTTTAGACAGGAAGGGCTGACATTGGGGGAACACAGATAGCACGTTGTCAGGGCATAAAGAGGACAGCAAGGAGTGTACCATTTGGAGAATGATTAGGAGCAGGGCCAGGAGAAAGCTGGCAGGGTGTTCTGCAGATGACTGAGCTGCAGGGGTGCCATTTAAGGCTGGTGAGAAAGCCTGTGCAGAGGGAGGGAAGGTGTAGCGGGGTGGTTACCCTGCTGCTGCCTGGAAGGGCTTAAAACAGCCCTGGTGGAGGGCTGCAGCTCTAAAAGCTGGGCTGATTGGGGAAGCAGCCACAGCTGGGCCACGCCCCAATCAGGCCACAGCTGGCCTGTATAAGAAGGCTGGGAGCCATGCGCCCAAACAGTATCTCTCTCTCCCTGTGTTCAGAGAGAAGGGCCTGGCTGTAGCAAGCTAGAGACAGGGTACCTGAGTGGAGCAGGGCTGGGGACAGGCTGAGGAGCTGGGGAGCTCCAGCCTGGAAAGCCTAAGGCTGTGGCCTAGCAGAAGGCCAAGGGGTACTGGGGGTTGCAGAGGGCAGCCCAGAGCTAGGCCAAGGCAGCAGGTCCAAACCCAACATTGCCTGTGATGAGTGGCCTGTACTGCAGTCTGCCCCAGGGAGTGGGGGCTAGTTGGTGACTGGCAGTGGCCTTATTCTGAGGCAAGGTAGGGATAGTGGGTGGGGGTTCTCTGGGAAGGGGAGACCCTAGTACTGAGGGGTGTACTGCCAGGGGGCAGCATCCCAGATAAAAGGGCACCGGGGTCTGGGAGGGACATGGGGCCAGAGGACAGGCAGATCACTGGCCTGCAGGGGGTGCTCCAGGATGCTGGAAGAGCTAATTCCTGAGATGACCAGCAGGAGGTGCCGCAGGGTGAGTCCAACCTTCTACAGAAGGGTTGTTTCATTAATGAAGTGTAAGTATACAAAAGCATTCACATGTCTGCAGGCACCTCCTCCTAGTAGTTAAAATATAACTTTTTTTTGGCTTATACCCAAGCTATCTTGGATAGCAGGAGAAAGGCTGGACTCCCTAGAGTGGGAGGGAGTGAGAGGCTGGGTTTCCTGGGGCAAGAAAAGAAGGCACCAGAAATACAGCAGAGATCTGTGTGTGTGTCATCCTGTCCCGTTTAAAAAAAAAACCACCTCTCTGTAAATGGCGAGCAAAGAAATTACCTTGAACTGCTGATTTCGGCAGAAGCTGATGCAGGTTTGGATAGTGAGTTTGTTTGAGGTCTCACTGATGCCAGTAAGAGGTGGATCTCCATAGTCCTTGTAACAGCCAAGATTCCCAGGCACTGGAAAGAATTATGGAGAACAAATATTCTAGACCTGTGCCCATGAGTGTACACTATGATACAAAGAATTTCAAGTGTAACCTTGAGGCCCCTGCACAGCTTCTAGCGTAGATCTCATATTAGCAAGCTCCAGCTGTACGACACTGGCCTTTAGAAAATATGAAAAAGACCCAGCAAACATAGCAGAGGACAAGGAGACAGGAAGTGAGGTCGGCTTCATTCCTGAATACATACACACCATATTTTATAATAAGGTTCTGATGATATGGTAATAGGGGCCACATAAGTACCTAAGATAGATAATTTCATTATTCAGCATTCCTGATGTCAGCAATAATAAACAGGAAGATTACACTAGGTTTGAGTGAGATCAGGGTAAATTTGGATTTGGAATGAATGATGTATGTTGTAATGAGGCATTGTTAAGAAATATGGCTTCTATTCAAACTATTTTATTGAGTATGGACATAAAATAGCTGTCTTACAAAGTGGAGTCCATGGAGCCATTGGATCTATGCTATTTGCCAGGATACTTCATTGCCAGTAATCATAAGCGGGTGCTGGGAGTACAAAGAATTAAAGTTGATACCTTGTTATAATGCAGTTGGTGGGGAGGGGAGGTTCAGAGGATAGAACCTCCTAGTCCTTATCACTCAAAGACTAAAACCTTTAATAGTACAGATATTAGTTTAATAATAGACACTAGTGTTTTTGGAAGAAAAAGTTACATTCCCCATATGATGTGTGTGATTCATTTGCAAATGAGATGTATCTGTATTTTTGTGGCTCCGGTGTGACTATCCCATGTAGAAGATCTAAGCTAATAGAGACTTCTTTTCATCTAACATCAGCAAAGATTTCATTCTCATCTGCAGTACTGTATAGTGAACATCACATTGGAGTTAGCTTAGCACTATACACTACTCTTCACCCAGGCAGGCCCAGGACTGGAATAATAGCACCAGATTCTGTCTGAGATCTGGTTGAATTCAGGATTGAGGGATGTTGCACATGGCAGAAAGCTGAATAGCACTTGCCAGCATTAGACCTGGCTGTAGCTCCAGTATAGTTAGAGCCTAATGCATGAGCACAAAACTCATCCTAGTAATTGAGATTATGGATCATGTCAACGTGGGGTGGACAAGGGACAAACCCTGTGACACTGTTTCCCTTTTAATTCCCTCGCATCTATTCAAGGTGAGTAACATTTACTAAAAGAGTTTGTGCTGGTGCCCAACAGAGAGAGGAGTCCCTCCACCTGGGATTCCCCCTGTATGATCCTTTTGCAGTTGTCTGAAGGAGGCATAGAGAACCCAGACAACTTGTGTGTCTGGGGATAACATACTTTATTTTCCAAGACACGCTCAACATAGTGCACATGACCATCAATTAGCAGTTCTAGATACCAAAATAACAGCTAAAGGCTAGCTGGCACAGTGGGATAAATCATTCCCCTGCTGATAGTAATAGAGCTTGTAAATGTCAGTGCTGGGCTGCACAATAGCTTTCTATGCTTTAAGGATGCTGATAGAGATAAATAGATACCTAAGTTAGACTGAGCCCCAGTGTCCATGGTGCAGAGTTCTCTCTGCTGAAGAGTGGAACCCTCCTTTGTTGTTTGCATAATGTGCAGACAATAAGACATTTTTATTCTAGTTTTCTTGTTGCCATCTCAATGAGTCCAAAGAAACACTGATTCGTCTACTTTACAAATCCCTTATAACAGGCCAAACTGGGAACAATATAGTTTTAGGATGCAGCTATAATACAGATTGATGCCTGGTTTCTTCATGGAGTTTTTAATATTCATTAGTAAAAG